GGTTTTGTATGCCAAGAACTACCCAGTTTAATATAGTCTGAGTAATGTTCTTCTGTTCATCTTTGTTCTGTAGAATGCAAGTGGGTTATGGGTTGTGGAAAACCAGCTGCCCATATCCTGCAAGCCTGAAGTTTAGCCACATTTCTTGCTAGGCACATCCTGGCATTTCAAAAGCTCTACTTAGTTTAGCACTACCTCAGACACTTATATTTTGTCTGCATAAGCATAACTGATCTGATAAGCATCCACACAATACACCTTAAAACACATTTTAGTATACATATCTCTTAATCATAATTGTTATCAGCAGTGAATCTTTTAAAAGCCATTCTGTTAAATGCTATAGATAAGTATGACGAGCATCTTGGAGTGAGCCTCCTTCAGACTCGATAAACTCTTATATTTGTCATTAGGCTCTTATCTGTTGAATAAGAAGTGTAACTTATTTTTTCCCAGAGAACAGTTGAAGCAAAGGAAATGACTATTACAGGGGTTCCATAAGTGCTTAGCACTTCACTTTACTTTTTTCTCCTAAAGTATGAACTCTTGATTGCGTCCCTAATTAGTTCTTTCCTTTTTTAATCTTTTTCTCTGTTCTCTTTTTATAAATGGAACTATAAAAAGTGCCAGATTAAATTATCAGGCCACAAGTGCACACTCCGGAAAATAAATGTAATGAGGTTCCCGGCTGCCCCCTCCCTGCATAACCTCTGTAAGCGTCCTATTCTGAAAACTGCTGAGTGCCTCCTGCAAGTTGTTGAGCCATTAGCTTTAGTGATGGTTGAGGCCAGTGAACACTTTGCAGGATTAGGCCTTAATTCAGTGAACATGAATGCAGTTGAGCCAGGAGACAAAGCAACAAATGAGTCAGCCTGTGCAATTGCGTATAATTTTCATTCCAGTAGTTCTCCCAGTTTTCTTGGCGGCTGTTTTCCTCCCCCCACACTTTTTCTTTTCTTTCCTTTGAGTCTTCTGCCTGAGCAAAAGCGGTCTTGCAAGAGTGGGCAAATGTATTCATGGGTTCACTGCACCTTGCCCATTAGAATTAGCTGAAAAATTCCTGCCTCTTTTTGTCTTGTGAAAATCTTTGTTGTGCTTGGTGGAGTTAAAATGAGTGACCTCTGTCCTCTCTTTCTTATAGAATAGAGAACCCGTTGACCTGAAGGTGGCCATGCTGGAGATGGTGGAAAGGTTAAAATTCAAGTGCACAGACCCTAAAGTAAGTTACTGAAATGATTACTTGTTTGCATGCTGGCTGTCTCCTGCCTTTCATCCTTCTTGATCTAAATACATTTTATTGTTAATGTCTATTTGAATATTAAGATCTAATTAAGGCTTCATACACACATTAAAATAATTTGGGAGAATTCTCCCAGATTTGTTCTCCTGGTAGAGAAACTTACCCAGAGCCACATTTACAGACATTGAAGTGCTGAGGCCCTGAAGAACAGAGTGCTTGCAATGTCTGCTGATACTGTGAAGCCAGGGGGGAACTCTGTGCACACATCTCAGCATGCTCTGCAGGCTTCCTTACTCAGCCTAGCAACAAATGTCAGCAGTGCATACAGTAGTCCTGATTGGCTGACCAAGACTGCCTGTGGTCAGCCTGTGTTTCTGTGCAGCACAATATGAAGGTTGCGAAGGGGGTCACGTTCTGCTCCTCAGAGTCCAGCAAGTGATAGACTGACTCCCTTGGAAGTTTGTGTTCTCTCTTCTGAGACAGAGATATATATATATATAGACATTTGGTCTCCCAGGAGAAACACCTGGGTGTGATTTAACCCTGGTTGTTCCTATATTATTTTGTTCTGGAGCAGCCATTTTTACTCTGGGCGAAAAAGCCTGAGCACACTTGTGATCTCCTCTGGGAGAGCAGTGACTCTCCCAGGAGAAACTGAACATCTGTATAAGGCCTCAATTCATCAGTCAAAATGTAGAACACACTAATATGTCTAGTTGTAAGTCATACTTCTTCTCCCTCTATTATTTTACTTTTAAGCATACAATTGTTAATTGTTTTTCCTGAACTGCAAACACATGTATTGTTAATTTTTCCTTACAGCAGTGTTTGCCTTAGAGGCCCACATTCATGTCAAAAAGGATGAAAATAGCTCGTGAAACATCCAATGCAAGCTATACTGTAGCTAAAGAGAATCAGAGAAGTGTGTCCTATCGGGAAAATAAGGCACTGGTCTTACTTCTTTCATCCAAATGGTGGTTCAGAATAACTAAAAGCATTTTGGAGACTGTGTTAAGAGGCCAAATGACAAACAGACTAGTCAAGAGATGTAAAGATTACAGTGTTCCTGGAGGACTGTCTGTGAAAGGGGAGGGACAGTATAACATCTCAAGTACTTCCTTCCCAAATCTACACTAGAATAAAAACTGCAAACTGCAATAATCCAGTAGATTTTGCTTGCATTTTAGTTATTTGCATGCTTTCCCATTGGACAAAAATCTTTATCTGTTCAATTACATTTCAATCAATTTATTCCCATGTTGGCTTGTACAGTGTTCTGGCTTATTGTATAAGCTGAAACCAGAAGAAGAAAGCCAAAGATCTGCTAATAAAATAATGCAGAGATTGAGCAGTACGTGGAAAAAGATTTCTTCTCACAACAGGCAGTTTATCATAATGTTTCAAATTATGAAACATTTTTGTAATCTAGCAAATGATTATATGGCTTTTTGTTTCAAATTAATAAGCACATTTCACTTCTTTGAGGCATACTTAATGTGTTTCTTGTCAGTAACTGCCATGTTCATTCATATAGCAGCATATTAGAAAGGGAGCAAGCAAACTGATGTGTTACAGGTAGTATTTTCTGTTCATTATTTGTAAGCACATGGTCAAGTGTAAGGGCACAGTGGGGTATAAAATAGGATTGAACAGCAGTTATCATTCTTTATTTATTTACCAGTGATTGTTTAAGTGTTGACAAAAAAACACACGGAGAGATTTACAGTTTGGTGTTAATATTATGTTTGGGAGTTATGCTTCCTGTTCCATTTCGGTTTTGTTTCTTTTTGCTGCTTTTCATTTCTTTTCTTATTAG